ATCTAACTGCAGGTACCACAGAGCTCCCATCTGAAAAATGCAACTTCTGGAAACGAGCTACAGACTTGTCACAGATTAATCACCCTCAATTTAATGGGCTGAGCGAACAGAAGTGCTCCAAGTGGCACACGCCACTCTAGAGCTGAAGCCACTCATTAGAGGGTATGCTGGCTTGCACTGGGTTTCCATGGCCACAAGTCAAGGTTTCGGGGGGCTACAAGGGTGGCTTGCTGTGAGAAGCTGCTGGAAGCTTTCCATCTGCCTTTCCAGGCCAATGCCAGACAGCTCCAACACAGACCTGCTGCAGGCCAACATAGCACCTCTGGGATAATGTATGTGACAGGAGGAAAACATTATTGCTCAGGAGCCATTGAAGCCAGAGATGAATGAGAATATGTCAGAGAAAGAACACTGCACACTCCTAAGTCAGGGAAGAAGGAGGGGGAGGACACACTCCAGGCACCTGAGCAGAGATTCCCCTGCAGCCTGAAGGCCACTGAGAGGAAGGCTGTTCACCTACAGCCCATGAAGGACCATAGTGGAGAAAATCTGAATGTGAAGAGTCCTTCCCCTGAGGAAAAAGCAGCAGAGACATTATTTGATGAACTGACTAAAACCTCCATTTCCCACCCCTCTCTGTTCTTTGGAGATAGGAGACTGAGAAAACGGAAGTGAAGTTGAACCCAGAAAGAAGGGAGGGGTGGGAAGAAGGTGCTTTAAGAATTTAGTTTATTTTCAGTTACCCTATTCTGAATTCATTGGTAATAAATTAATTCCTTTCCCCCATGATGGTAATAGCTGAGTGATCTCTCTTTGTCCTTATCTTGACTCACAAGCTTTTTGTTGTATTTTCTACTCCCAGTGTAACCGAGGGGAATAATAGAGTGCCTTTGGTGGGCTTCATGTTAAATATTTCATAAATCAAATAGATTTTCATTCTAAGTGTTACACAATAAAAACAAACTTAAATGGATGTTTTCATCAGGGAAGTCAAATATTTCTGTGCATTCCTTTTTACATACTAAGCATGTCACCAAAAATTAATGAAGTATAATACAGAATTTTTGTCTGCCTGAATTACACATATGAAACTCAAATCACTCATAGATCAATTCAATTGACAACCTTTTTCCACCAATCCCCCATCCAACAAACACATCTCTATTGGACAAATCTTACCTATGTAAGCTGAAAATGTAAGTCTATTTTCAAAACCAGATGCACAGAATAGCAAAATTTAACAGATACTACAGAAAGATATCTAAGTATTATTTTTTTAAACAAGTTCCTATTTCAATGTTTTAATTTTTTATTTGCTTGGAATTTGTGTGGAAAAAAAAAATCACCTCTTTTCTCTCTCTGAATTCAATACACTCTCTGCCATAATAGCAGCAGCTAACTTTGAAGGATGTTGAACACACTAATATTCACACAAAATCTAAGAGAAATACAAAACAAATTCTATTACGCTTATTTTTAAAGTGAAATCTGCTCTCTTCAGGAATGATTAAGGAAAAAAAAAAGAAATATAAGGATTGGCAAGATTAGACTACCCATCATTATAAAATCAGCTGTTGCACACCGGTGTTTTAACTAGCATATCAAAGACACACATACATACTCAAAAAGATAAACTAAAAGAAGTAAATTATTACCTAAATTAAATCCTTATTCAGCAACTAATAGAATGTTTGCATTTCTTTTCAGGTATTGTGATCAATTGCCACTCTGTCCTAAAACGAGGGCTAAATGAAGTTCTCCCCTAGGTGATGTTGTTAAACATGATATTCTCTTCTCCTTAATATGGAAAAGTCTGTGAGCACATAGGAACACATTTTTTCAGAAGTAGGTAATGGTTACTTGTTGGAGTATGCAAGTTACATTCTTTGCCTGCTTTGTTGACACAATTAGATACAAGTTAATTCCGGTGCCTAAAGTTTAAGGGCAACTGACAAAATTTTAAGAGAGCCTTAGTGTGATTTTAGCATTTGGCATCTCCTTCCACCATTTCTCCATCACCTTTTACTGTGCCAAGTAATTTCTCTCTCTCAAGTGTTGATCTGTGAACAACACTGTGAACTCATCCCACAGAAAATGCGTGTTTCAATGAAAGCACATCTTGATTTGTTTGACAGCTTGAAAAAAAAGAACAATAAGAAGAAACAGATCAGAAACAGAAAAAAAATGAAGTGAGCTGAGGGAGGTCCTGGCATTTGTTACGTAGCATTCACGAATTTAGAACAGGTAGGCTGAATGCCAGGAGAAAGGAGGTCAGTAAGACCATGTGACTGCTTAGTAATTAGACTTGCTCAATAGTGCAATTACACAAAAATATTAGTTCCCGATTGTTACATGACTGTTTAAAGAGAAGAGTTAATTGGAAAGCACCAATCTATTAAAGGTTGCTATTTACCAGATTTAACACACATTTGTTAATATAAACTGTAACTGGTGACCCTGCAGAGTGACAATATGCTAACAAGAAACTAAACCTCCTGGTTTCTTGCATCGTTTCACCATTTTTCCTTACGTATATTGTGTTAGTCATAGTTTGACAGAGAAGAGTTTTGCCCAGGGCACTAGGCCCGAAAACACCTGGTGTCAATCAACTCAAATTATGAAAGGACCACTGGAAATTCACACCAGGAAGTTAAATTTGACTCACCTTCCTAATGCTAAAGGGCTTCTGCTCCTAGTCTCAGATAAAATGGTTTTGACTAATTCAACGTCCTACTCAACAGGCACATAAGCAGCGATTTTGCTCACAGTCATCAAGTGAAAAAGAATATAGAATGTTTTATCATTAAATGTAAGTGCCAAATGAGACTGGCAAACCAAAAAACTGCACCATAGATCTTGTGTATACCTATTGGGAATGCATGTGTCCGCACTGGTTAAAAACATCTCATTAAAACCACTGGAATCTAAAGTGGATTCATACCAAACTAGTAACTGTCCATTTAAATAAACATTTATTGAGAAGAACTGTAATAAACATACAGCTTTAGCAGCCAGTTATTCTATACAGCTATTGTACTTTTAAATGTGAAAAAAAACCTGATGATCTCACAAAACCAGGCTATGCAGGCAGCAAAATTTCCTACTCAAATCCATGTGCAGCATGTGCCTTGAGGGTATTTGAGTACCAGGAGATTTCTGGAAGTGCTTTGGACAGGGCAGTTGTAATCTACCCCAAACTCAGTCTCTCTAACCAGCAACTAAAACCAGGCATTTTTCTTCAAATGCAAAATGCAGCGGAAGGACTAGCTGCCTTCTAAAACACTGAAAACACTGTTAAAGTAAACCAACCAGCAATATCACACACAGATGTACTCAAGGACTATTAGCTAATAATCATGTTACACGGTCATTGAAGAACCAGGCCAATAGCACTGAAGAGACAGGAACTTCCTCCTGCTGGAATCAAAGTTCACATTTGTCTATCATTCACTAGCTCAGAGAATAAAACCAAAAATTGCTCAGCATTTCAACTGCAGGGCACATGAGAGACCAATGAAGTATTCTTAAGACATGTGATTTCCTTAACACTTAGATTGGTGACAATTGTCCACATTCTTTTAAAACTTAAGTAGCTGTTCATGTTTCATTCACAAAATTAAGACCTCTAAACTTCTTCAGGAACTCAGAATGTTATTCAAAAAAACATATACCTTCAAAACAAAAGATATTTAAAAGTTTCTTATAAATGTACATCATGAATTTCGAATAAGGGAAGTATCTAATAGTTATTTGTAATTTATTTTTGTCAGTGAAAATGAAATAACCATCAAGTTAAAGTTCACAAAAAGCATTTTTAGTATTTCTAGCTCTTGAAAACAAGAAGATTGTAAGGAAAACCTCTCAAAAGATGAAAAAAGAAATAGAAACCCAAAACCTCTAAAGGTAAGTTACCTTTATAAGGAATAATCCTTCAACTAAAGGCAACTGAAACCTGAAATTTCTAAGCTTTATTATTCTTCTATGATATAGTGTTAAGCTAAGTTTCATTGTGCCTGTTCCCATAATTAGGCAACTTCTCTGCATTGTAGTCTGGGCAGGCTAACTTCACTAGCATTTCAAGTTCCTGACATTGGAGGAACAGATGATACACAAACTTTACTGCATTACAAACCATTTTACAAGGGTAACAATTTTCAGATTTCTAGTGATGTTTTAACTAATCTCACATGACAAGTATGCACAGAAGTCCTATTAACCTCTGCCTCATTATGGCACACATTTTGCATGCAAGGATCAGTCACAGCTCCACGGTAAAGTTCATTTTTATATCGGGTAGGAGAATTACAACTGGCTTGACAGTGCAGGAACAAATCTGCACGCTGCAGAAAGGGACACTGCACATCAAGCCAGCCAGAGTTCAAGAACCATTTGGACAACGCTCTCAGGCACACAGTGGTTTTCCTGGGGCTGTTCTATGCAGGTCTAGGAGTTGGACTCCATGGGTCACTTCCAATTCGGGATATTATGTGATACCCTTCCGTACAGAAACGCTACTCTGAAAAAGTACTTCCGAGCTAAGAGAGCAACTTCACAGTTTCTCCAGGACCGGAATCGCCCTGGGGTTCCCGGCTGCCCAGAGTTCCTGAGATGGTGCAAGCCCTCCGGGCTGCTCCCCCACAGGGTTTTCCATCCGGCAGCAATCCCGTTCAGAGCTCCAGCGCCCGGCACTAAACCGCCGCCCTCGGGAGCGAGAACAAGCGCCCCCCTTCCCGGGAAGCCACAGCCCACCGCCCCGCACTCTGCCGTGGGCTTCCCGGCTCTTTCTTCCCCGTCCCTCCCACGTGAGCCGCGGGAGCCGCAGCCCGGGCCGGCTCTGGGCTGGATATGTAACACCGCCGGGCCCGCGGGAGGGCGAGCGGCCGAGGGAAGCCGGCGCTGGCGGCGGCCCAATCGGGCGCGGAGGGGAGGGGATGGCGGGGAGACAGCGTGACCGAATACATAACGCGGGGATTAGGGCCCCCACAGCGCCCCGCACTCACCGCCACCTGTTGATGCCCACGTTGGAGGAGCCGGCGAACCAGGGGTCCAGGATGTAGACGCAGCGCACCGTGTCGGCGCCCTGGATGCATTCCCGTAGCGCCGGGTTGTCGTGGAGCCGCAGCCCCTTGCGGAACCAGTGTACGGCGTTCACCCCCATGCCGGGTGCGGGCGCTCAGCGGGAACCGCCGCCGCCCGCGGGGCCGCTCATGGCCCGGCGCCGCCGGGCGAGCACGGACGGGCGGCGGGCGGCCCGCGGGGCCTCGCTGCGGACGGCTCTAGGACCCGGCGGAGACGGTGGGAGCGGCCGCCCGGCGGGGACGCATCACCCCGCGGAGCCCCCGCGCCGGGGAGAGCAGGGACGAAAAGTAGGAGCGCTGGGTCCGACGGTGTCTGCGGGGCGGTGACGGCGCCCTGCCCACGGAAAGCGCTGTCCGTGCCCGCTGCCGCCTCCTCGCCGCTCGCCCTGTGACTGCGCGGGGCTGCGCCGGCCGCTGCGCCCCGCCCCCCGCCGCCCATTGGCCGGCGCCTCTCCCACGTGACCGCGGGCCCTCACGTTTCTGAGGTGTGATCGCTACCGGCGGGGCGTGGGGGAAGGGAGGCTCGGCCGGGTGGTCGCGCGGCCGCGGCGCGGCCAGAGGAGGTCGGGGGACACGCAACCCCGGCGGGAATCCCAGTCCCCGGGGCGGCGCGGGGCCGGGGGACCGCGGCAGCGGGGGCGGGGCCCGACTCTCCGCCAGCCCCCCGCGGCTCGGCGCGGCGGGACCCGGATGAGCACGGGGCCGCGAGGCGGCTCTTGGTGGCGCCGCTTCCGCCGGGAGGCGCAGCCGCGCGCGCGCGCCCCCGAGCCTGTTATGTATGGGGCCTCGCGCGCGCCCGCGCCGCTCCCGTCACCCGCCCGCCCCCGGGCTGTGCCCAGCGGTCCCACCGCACCCGGCCCCATCCCGCGGGAAACAGGCGGGGCGCTTATATAAGCGTGTGCGTAGGGAGCATCTGCTGGCTTATCGGAGCTCCGGAGGGCCCCTCCGACCCTGACGCTTCTGTGACGCGGGCCGAGGGCTCGTTGCTGCCCGGTGCCGTCGGGACGTGTTGGTCAGAAGGCACCCCCGGGCAAGAGAAAGCCGCTCGGCCGTGCGGCGCTGCCGCACCCAAACGGGCTTTCAAGCAGTAGAACGAGTTAAAATGGTCCCTCTTGCACCGTTAGAAAAGCCATTACTAAATGGTGAATTTCTCACGCCTGTTAATTACAGAGCTCAAACCACCGTCTATGTGCTGCCAACACAGCGGGTTTCCCTGGACCTGCTCCTTGGTTACACGGGGCATGGCCAGCAGCCGACAGAGGCATCGTACTGACAGGACTCAGTACAACCCTCTGGAACCTTAACAGGGCAGCTCTGGATGCAGATCTGAAAATAAACCTCCATCTGTGGGTTGCAGCTCAAATCTACAGCTTCCAAAGTGTTCACAGACAAGTGGGTAGCAACAGCAAGAGTGGTCTCATTAGAAATAATGCCTCAAGTAAAAGGCAGCAGACTCAAAGCTGCAGTACGGACCTTTCCTAACTTTGAGAATTCCAGACAGTACTTAAGGAACTGTCATTTTTCTTCTAAAGTATTTTTTCTGCTAAGATCCACAGAAAGTAAAAGTCAACAAGGAGAGACACATGCATTATTTTTTTCCCTTCATGCTTTTCTTTCCTCACTTTGAATGACATAATAAACACAGTAACAGAATCACTGAATCATTTAGGCTGAAAAAGACCTCTGAGGCCAACTGCTGACTGACCACCACCCTCTCAGCTAGGCCATGGCACTGAGTGCCACGTCCAGTTGTTTCTTGAACACCTCTGGGATGGTGACTCCATCACCTCCCTGGACAGCTCATTCCAGTGTTTAACAACCCTGTCCGTAAAAAAAATTCCTCCTGATGTCCAACCTGAGCCTCCTCTTGTAGCAGCTTGAGGCTCTGTCCTGTCGCAGCTTGCCTGGGAGAAGAGGCCGCACCTGTCATTGGTGATCAAGGTATGCAAAGACCCCAGCCATGATTAGAATCCCCTTCTGCTTGGTCTTACACAAAATTTCTTTTCAAAAGGTGTAGCTTGTGGAGACTGAACAGTTTTTGAGCACTGACTTTAACAATAGCATAAATTATGATGAGTTTTTCAATTATCACTTTGTTGTATGTAGAAAATTGTATTCCACAGCTCATCATTCTCATCCAAGAAGAACATATAGGATTCCGTCATATACCCTTGCTGCAACTCAGATCTGGAGTAGTGGGGTCATTGTAAAGTCAAAAATTGCTTTCTCAATTAATACGAAGTTCGTTTTTATTTGCCTAGTTGTTTTTTATAATTATTACTATTAGCCAAATAGTCAGTAAATAATTTTCAAATAAATAGAAAAAGGAAGTTCAGTAGTTAATGACCACTATCCATCAATCTCATTTAAATTCTATACTTTTTGAACACACTGAAGAAGTAGATTCCTTATTTTCAAAGAAAGTCACTTCACAACATAGTTTTTATTTCAAACATTTAAATTGCTTTTTCACACTCATTATGTGTCCTGCTAGCTCCCCACAAGGCTGCCACACTGAAGATACACTTGAATAAAGTCCAGCATCAAGCAATCTGCCTTCTTGGGAATACTGAGGTGGAAACAGCCCTTCCTCACTTGACCTTATGGTTTCATAAACAAATTGTAGCCATAAAAACTATCAGTCTCTAAGCTCTTGGTTGCTACAGGCTAAATAACAATTGCAGTATTTCATTAGCATATCATTATGTCAAACACTATTTGGCTCTACGTGGCCATGCCTTCTATGTGAGACAGTTTGTTCTTGACTCAGAAATGAGAGAAAGAACATATTAATGTATAATTAATATTGTAATAGGATATATTAATATATAATAGATGCAGACTATATTAATTAAAATGTCATCTCTCAAGGGAAGAGCCACTCCAAATTCGTTGAAATAAAAAAGAGAATGATAGTTAATCAAGGAACTCATACAAGTAAACCTCTCTACAGTGTTCTCTTGTGAATAACTTTTTTAAACAATATTGCTAATTTAGCCCAGACTGTGATTGCAAAAATGAAGAGAGTGGGGAGAAGATAGAAAGGAAAAAAGATAACATGAAGGCAGGAAGTGAAAAAAACATAAAGAAGCAAGTATACAATATATTTTGTGTTACAAATTAGAAGCTATTTTTTCAGATGCATGTTTTTAACATCATTATACAGATTATATTCACAGACTTTGTTAACTGTTCTTGGAACAGCTGTTATTTAGGAGACCAAGTGTGAACCCTGTTCCTAGAGGAAACGTTCTTTCTATAGCATTTCTGTTCTTCATTATCTCTTTTTCACAGACCCAGTACAAACTACTGCACGTGTAGCTGACAAAAGAAGGGTTCACAGAGACAACAGTAGTGATTTTCACTCTCTGAAAGATGTGATTGTGCAGACTTGGAGTTAGTTAAAAAATCCAAACTCTTCTAGCAAAATATTTCTAGTCTAGAAATCATTTATGTGACTGCTGATTTGTTACTCTAGATGAGAAATATAAGTAGATATGGCTACAAAAATTAAGATAGAGGAACATGGTTCTCACCATCACAGTTCAATGAACTTCTGAAAAGCCACCAGCAAAACAATATAAGCCCAATGACTATATGTGAATTTAATCATGTAATAAGGCAGTGGTCATATGGAGAAAATACACTGGTGAAAGACAAGCCTCCCATCATGATGTCGGCGTTACCGAATCAAAAGGATCATCTGCTTCCCGTCAGCGCACAGGCACTCAAGTACTCTGACTTCTAAATGTTCCGGCCTTTGCTATTACATTACTTAGAAATTATTATCAAAGTTGTTTTTTGTTTTGTTTTTTTTTCTATTTACCCCACTACTTCTCTCTGCAAGCTTTTTTAATCCGACGACCTTTCACTTTTCCGAGTGCTGGCCAAGCCTGCTTTGGCAAGCGGCGGCGGCTCGCCCGGTTCGGAACCGGACGGGCCCGGGCCGGGACAGCCACGTCCTCCCGCCCTGCGGCTCGGCCCGCGCCCCTCCCCTCCCGCACATGGTACGTGCCAGCACCACCCGCGCGGCGGCGGTGGTGCGGCCCGGCGGCGGCAGCGGCGAGGCCGGTGAGCGCGGGCGGGGGCAGCGGGCGGGGGCTCGGCCGCTCTCCGCCGGGCCCGGCACCGGGGCACGGGGGCGGAGGGGCCGGCTGGCGTTCCGCTTGTCCCGCTCCGAGCGCCGGCGGGGCTGAGGATGGGGCGGGCGGCGTGCAAGGGGAGAAGCCGCGCGGTTCCGAGGGATGCGCGGTTCGGAGGGACCCCGGGGCGCGGGGCCCCCGCGTCGGCCGCCGGTGACTGCGGCGGGAGCGGCGCTCCGGTGGGAACGGGCCTGCAGCCGCTGCTCCCGTGCTGGCTGCAGGAGAAAATCCGGCTCCTCCCTCTCCGCCCCCAAGCAGAGTCCAAAGGGTGGGAAAGGGCGGTCCAGGTGGGCGGGCTGTGGGAGCAGGCTGTGATAGAGACCCCTGTTTTCTCTGTGCTGAAAGTGCCGCCACGTAATGACCAGTGCTTTAAATAGTGCGGTGCGTCCTTAAGCACTGCTCAAGTGTCTTTCCTTTCCTGGATGTAAGAAGAACCTTCTTCCCATGAGGACAGTTGAGCAGTAGAAGAGGTAAACCAGAGGCCGGCTGGGCTCCATCCATGGAGGTTTTAAAGACCTCACTGGACAAAGCAGCCTGGATCCTGCATACCCTGCTTTGAGCATTTGAGATCCCTTCAAACCTGTTTTAGCGTAGGATCCTCTATATTTTTTTCTAGAAAGCTTTATGTTGGCCTAGCATATATTTTATAATCCCTCATGTCATTTCTACCACTAATGCAAAGCAGGGATTCATTTCTTAAAGTGCAGAAATGTGACAATTTACTGTGCATTAATCTACAAAACTGCTACCTCTAACAACCCAGATTCCTTCACAAACTGTTCAAACCTTGTCTACACTCCTCTTTTCTAGGTAGATACCTACTCTTCTTGGTTCAGTCAAAGTTCAGTCTAGGCATTCAGTAGTTTCATTTAATTCTTTACAGCCTACTAAGTTTCTTATAATGAGAATGGTAGTGGTCAGGCAGTCATACTGTTGCCCTCTTTACTAAAAGCTTTTGTGAACAATCCAGCATGAGTAAATTTTGGATTTGCTAATTTTCAAAAAGTGATACTTGATTCTCAAAATACACATCCAGAAATTCACATGAGGGATAAATCAACCAGTTGATCCTTGTATCTATTTCGTATAGAAGATTTACATAGAAGTCTCATTAAGTAATAAAACTTACAGCACCTCTTTACTCTCTATATTCAGGTTTCTGCAAGTGTGCTAGCAAGCAGGATCACAGGTAACTTTGACATTAGTTCACTTCCTTATTGCTGTTCTAACACTTGGTGGTGAGAGGGTGCTGGTGGCAGTGAGAGCAAGCATCTTATCTGAGCTGGCTGGGTTTTTTTTCTTAATCTCTCAATTGCTTTACAATCCCCACAGCAATCTAAGTACGTGAAAACTTACAGTGGGGTCCTGCACATTGGAACACGCTTTAGATCCAACAAGATCTTAAAGAGAACTCTGAACCCTCGAAAGCAGTTACATACCCTGGAAATGTGATAAGTCATATATGGACTTGGAAATCCATTAAATCATAACTCAGATCTTCTCGGTTTCTATAGAACACCATGATATTCAAATTCATTCATGTTATTTCACATGTTGTATTTTGCATAGGGCTTTTTTACAAGGGCTCCTGAGTACCCCAGGCAAATGAATTTTGGCAAATAAACTTTTCTTTTACGATCCTCACTAACAACAGGGAAAACTGACTATGATCCTAGACATTTTTAGAAAGTGTAAAGCTTCTTTTAAATGAATGCAGCAACCATTCCCAAGTCAGATTTTAGAAGAGCACTATTTACTATATTAGAATTTTTTAAAAGTTCTGTAATAGTAAAAATGACAGAATTTTAAGAGACTGCATTACTCACAAGGCAATTTTGTTTAACAGCAAGATTACACATTAAAGTAGAAATAAGTCGTGGTTGTTTTTCCAGTTTGTACTTTGGAAATATTATTTGACATCTCAAACAATTTTTACAATTCACTTTGCTGGCCACTTCTAGCTAAGCTGAAGCATTGATGAAGAAAACCCTGATCCTTCAGAGATTTGTTTATTCTGACTGGACCCACTAAACTCAGCAGAACTACTCAGAGTGCTCAGACAGAGGAAGTTGTGTCATTCCTGTGGAGGTTTAGCTTGCAGTCACTTTTTCAGGACGTGCAAGTTTCAGCACACAAAACATCTGTGACTTACCTACACTTCCAGTGCTTTCGGGGTTACTGGGAAAAGTCACTTGTTCTGTTGTGGGGCTTGGGACAGCACTTCTGAAGTCACAAGGTATATGAAAACAAAACCATCAGCCTTGGGGTTCTGACACAAGAAGTGCATTAGGCAGTTGGTTTTACCTTAAAGGTGTGAAATAATACTAAAGAACAAGTTATCAATAAACAGCTTCTGTTAATAACATTAGCATGCATACAGGAAATTACGTCATATTCTGTTAGTTTATGATGTAGTAACATAGCAGTAGTCCATCTCAGAAGCAGGAAAAAAGCAATCTAAAAGCAAAGGTACACTTTCTTGAGACAAAAAACTTACCTCTAGAAAATATTTAACCTTACCTGGCAACTAGAAAGAGGACTTACCACTAAAGTGCTCTAAACAAACCACATATGTTCTTAGAAGATGGGCTATAAGGAAGATTCTAGGGCTCTTGTGCAGTTGTGCAATAGGTATCTTGGTCCGTTAGACAGGACATTAGACTGCATGATCATAACAGTATTTTCTCAAAAACAAACAAACAAACAAAAAAACCCCCACACCAATTAAAAAAAAACAATCAAAAGTAATTTAACAATGATCAGGTAGGTACTTTTTGAAGCATGCTATACTTAGGGAGAGGTGAAAGCAGCTGTCCAAATGTTCTCACTTTCAGTTTGAGCAGTTTTAAGCATGTTACCAGCAGCAGCTATTTGCAGGAGTATTGCAGAGATCAGCAGTTCTCCCTTTCACAGTCGGTAATTCCAAAGGGTTGTTAGGAAAACACCCCCCAGGAAGTTAAAGATACACTTGATATCTTTGTTTGACTGTTGAGGCTCCTTTGCCCCTGCAGAGCAGGTGACAGCACATGTGCTATTGGTGATAACTGGGCAGCCAGTTTGAGCAAAGGTGAGGTGTGGGGTTGGCCCTGTGGACTCCAGCACGGCCACACATCTATTCCACAAGGACTCTGCCTACAGAAAAGACCTGGAGGCAGAAATAAGGCATTGGTGCAGAGCTGGCAAAGTAGGTGCTGGAAGAGGTAGGTGAAGGCCTGGAAATGTTACTGTATACTTACTTCCTCCCCCCAAAATACCAGGGTTCTTATTCAACCTCAATTAACACGCTCAGCTGGTGAAAAACACTTAGGTAAAGGTTCATGTGATTTTTTTCTCCCTTAATTATATAAAGAATGATTTCAAAATGAAGTTATGCTACAAACTGCTGCTGAAGCAGCACTGCGTGGTGGGTCTCTGACACATTAAAGAACAACTCACACTCCCAACAGTGCCTGAGAAGTTAAAGCAAATACATTCATAAAAACTAAGAAAGATATTTAAGCTGCCCTTTTTGTTAATTTAGTAGGACTGCTGTCAAATGAAATTGTATAAATAATTTTTCTCATACAGTGTGAGTGATCTGTAATGCAGTAGCAATGTTAGCTACAAGAAATGGCTGACAGCTTGGAGCTTATATGACTGCAGGCATCGATGTAGACAGAGCACTGCCCCACACCAGGTCTCTTGCATTCATGTTACTGTTCCAGTGATATATCCATCAGAACGTTAACCTTTCAAAGAGTCTTTCCCCCTGCTTTCATGTGAAAGCTGGATTTTGCACTAATAACAGAAACCACTCTGGAGAGTAATTTCTTATGCCAGTTCTGTCTAAACATCAATGATTCTGATCATTAACTCATTCTTTAAATGTGTTTTCTTACAGTTGTTGTCTCTCTGACTTCCATGATGTTGAGAGGAGTTGCTCACAGTGCAAAAGACACATTCACTCTTCTGTTGACAAGATCTCAGAGCTGTAACCCGGGACTGAAGTTTTCATCAGTATGGCCTGACATAACAAACAGAAGCTTCCTAATGCATTCCAGTTACACAACTGATACAAAGTCCAGAGAGGAAAATAAAAAAACCCTTGAGAATCTCTACAGTTTGTCAGTTGACATCACGAAGATACGCAGAGTGAAGGAATGGGTCCTTCTCCAGGATGTGGCCTATGTTAAAGAAATTGCTGGAATCTTACAGGAAATGGGAGCAGATGAGACCACTGTGGCCAACATTATAGAACACTGCCCTGAGGCAATTCTCCACACCCCAGCAGAGATAAATTCTCAAAGAGCTTTATGGCAATTAGTATGCCAGAATGAAAAACAACTGATTAAATTAATAGAGCAATTTCCAGAGTCTTTTTTTACTACTGAGTATCAGGAGAATCAGAAGGCAAACATACTGTTTTTTCAAGAACTGGGACTTAAGAATAATATAATCACCAGGTTCTTAACAAGTGCACCCAATATTTTCTATAACCCTGTTGAGAAAAACAAAAATGTGATAGAGACGTTACAAAGAAATTATTTAAATTTAGGGGGTTCTGAAGCAAATATGAAGATCTGGATACTTAAGCTATTGAGCCAAAATCCATTTATTTTATTAAATACTTCCACCACAATCCAGGAGAACTTGGAATTTCTCCAAAAGAATGATTTCACTGACCAGGAAGTTCTACAGCTGCTGTCCAAACTTAAAGGCTTCATTTTTCAACTTAATTCTACCACTATGCAGGAGAGTATACTTTTCTCCAAAAACATCTTTAAGTGCAGTGATCAAGAACTGAAACAACTAGTGCTGAAATGCCCAGCCCTTCTCTACTATTCTGTTCCAGTTTTGGAAGAAAGACTTGAAGGACTACTGAAGGAAGGAATATCTATAGCACAGATTAGAGAGACACCAATGGTGCTGGAGTTGACAACACAAATTGTTCAGTACCGAATTAAAAAGCTCTCTGCATTAGGATACGATATAAAGAGTGGAAATCTAGAATGCCTGAATGGTACTAAAAAAGATTTTGAAGTCACTTATGGTAAGATACAATCAAAGAAGGAGAGACCAATTTTTAATCCTGTTGCTCCTCTACACATTGAAGATTAATTTGAATGCTGTAATTCCAAGTTATGCAAAAGCAAATTAAAAGGAAGTTGGTTCTTTGAGAAGGGATGGAACAAAAGTAATCAGACTGTAGCCTTACACTGTACTTTGTCCAGGAGGGGGTCTTAGGCACAACTTCATTATACAATTGTAATATTCTACTGCTTTCAAATAATATAGAAATTATGGTTATTATAAAGGTTGCTTTTTTTCTAAGAGTACCTCAGATGTGATATTTTATTACTTGACAGGGCATTCACTGCCTTAGATTTTCAGCTCTGTCACTGCACAGTCCAGCCTATGGTAGTGACTAGCACAATTGTTATCTGAGGAAGACAAAAGGAGGATTATTTTTCCAGCAGTGTTCATCAACTGGCTGGTTCACTGTCTTCAGGAAACACTCTTGAAGTGCTTTACCTTATTGCTGAAGTAGCTCCTGGATCCTGACTTGCAACAGACTTGATTTCTTGGACAGCAAAGGCCTGTCCTGAGAACAGGGGCTGGACATAATATTTTTTTATTAATTGACTGCCACAGTGAGACCCTAGTATGTTTGTGTACGAACCATAATGCAAAGAAACTACAAGATGATAACCTTTATATTTCTCAGACTTCAAAATTTACTTATTTTTTCAAATGGTTTGGGAGAGTAGGAGATACATTTATTGCTATTGTGTAGTTCTTAATCCCTTCTAGCAAGGCTTGGGGACAAGAAATATTAGGGAGAGACTCAAGTCCCAAATGATGGTAGGACAAAAGAGAAAGTCATGCTTTTCTATTAGGTGCAACAAAACTCTAGTCTGAAAACCACTGGTGATTAAACATGACTACCAGATTTGCTAACAGCTGCAACAGGTTCTAAATATATGGGTAGCACTGCTTCTCAGATAACACCATATGACAACTGGTAAGAAGTGCTGACTTTCAAAATAGTAACTATCAGACAGCATTTAGTTTCTCATGGGATTTGGTTTCTTCTCATTTATGGTCTGTGAATGATAATATAAAACAGCATCACTGACAATAATCTCAATAGAATTAGGATCAGTGATTTTTTTTCTCAGACTTTCCTAAGTAGCTATTCCACACACATTCCCTCTTGACAGCAGAATAAAAGCCAGCTACACACCACCCTCACTCCAGGCATTCTTCAAGGTCATTTTTAACACACTTTTTGGCAGGCAAGTCCAGACTTCCATTTCTTAAAATGTGGTTTGTAATTGCTGAAGAAAGCTGGTACAGAATTACTGCTCCAGAGGGTGGACCAAGATGCTGCTGCAAGACGATGATTTTATATAGTCTGCCACGTTATCTGCTGTGACTGGGGAAGGGCTGGGAACACCCAGTAGGAGCAGTGCCAAGATCTCAACAGCTGAAGGGCTTACACTGAGCACTCTGCAGGCAAGTGCAGACGTGCCAGGCGTTTCTGGGGGAAAATGCCACTCTTGCAGGAGCACGTGCGACAGGGACAGGAATTCAAGAAGGGGACACCAGGCTGTCTATGCCGACTCTTTCAAAACACATTATCACGCCATATTAAAAATTCACAGCAACTTGCCTTTGTCACTTTTCTGACAAAGTCTGTCTTTCTCTGCTCAGCTATTAAGCAGACCACAATATTATCTGAATTCAAAAGCCTCCTGTAACTGAGCCAGAGACCTGATTGTTGGCTTAGGAGGAAAAGGAAACCAAGACATAGATTGGTGTTTCCCCTGAATATTTAGTTCTAGCATTTCTACAGGTATCTGTTTTTACAAAGTTCTTGAAACAGCTTATTCCACTTGTATTATTTCCAGTGGCAATAGAACTAGGAAAGAATACATGTCCTTAACTAAGTCACAGCCTGAGTTATCACAAACTCATTTTGCATTCTGAATGTTTCAATTTCTTTTCCCTTTTCAATATAAAAGCATGAGCGGAAATGCTCTTCTCTACTACCAGATGAAAATTCAGTCAATCCTTCATTCATAACTCTATCCTGCAACCTGTTTCTCTCTTCTTCACAGGATTCATTTACAATAAAACCTCAGGAAAGCTCCCAGTCACCAAAACACTATTACTGATATCCTCATCTTTTGTTACTCACAGTGACTGTGGACCAGCCTGTGAGTAAGCCTTTCACTACCTAGCAAGCAGTCAGGTGTACAAGCTGCCTTCATAAACATTTCCCCTTTTGAAACAGGGACTGGGAAAAGGAAAGTGAAATAAAGCCACCACAAACACAATTCCAAAAGAACAACCTCACTCCCCTAGAAAATTTTAGTTCCATATTCCATTCAGCTCACTATGGTCTTAAAACTGGGTATTCCCAAGCATCATTGACCAGGAAAAAGAAAATTAGTGCAAAGGATATTGTGCTGTGTCTGTGCACAGTTTACAAACTTAAGTTACAGCTTTTGTTAAAAGCTGGTTGGTGCTAAGTAGATACAAAGAAAAGACATTCAGGAGCATGGTACCATGGGAAGATTTATACCTAAGTATGCCTTTCTCCACAAAACTAAGGAAGCTTTCAAATGTCTGAAACAGCAACAATTTAATGTTTCACAGGTGCCATGACAGAATTGGAACAAGTTTTTAAGATGAAGCAAGTTTCATAAGTGAATGGAAAACACACAGGATATAGGACAAAGCTCTTCAAAAACAAAAACCATGTGCCATGTAAAAGTGTTTCAGTTACAAGACTCAAAATAATAGCTACAGGATATGTTAAGAACAAAACAAAGTGTTGGCAACTCTTTACATACCTAACATTGCTTATCTCAGACCATGCTTGTTTTGCTGCAAGTTTCATAGTTTAAAATTAAAGAATTTAATAAAACAATGGGTATGACCAGTTCAACATTCCCATTTACAGAAAACTATTAGGAAGAGTTTGCTTGAGTGTCACAAATTATCACTGTGCTCCAAACAGGTGACTCCCAAAGAGTTCAGCAGCAGCACTTGGGGAATATTGCTACATTGGAAATTGCAGGGGAGCAGATCATACTAAATTATATGCTGCAGCAAGACTGCCTCTGATATCCAGGCTAGCTCATTTCTAGAGCTAACCGGTACCTCTAAACAATACTATATTCTATGCAATTTGCTTTTGACTATAAAAAAATAGTTAAAGCCTTCCATTTCTTGCATCAACTTACCTCATTACATCCTTGCAGATCAGAACCAAGCAGCTGGTGCATCTAAGAGAAGGAGCAGACGCCATTTCTTGGGTTTTTGCTCTCCCTACCACCCCAAGTTCCCATGCTTACAAGTATCATGCTTCCAACATACAATTTCTGATATAAAATAAACTTGTTACAGAGTGCAGCTGAAGTACCAATGGCTCAGAGAGACTGGGTGACTACAGTACCCTAATTGAGACATGGTGTGCTTTCAACACCCATGAACAGAGGACTGAGTTTGACACATGATGTTTCAGGTCTTTTTCATTTTTAAAAAGTCCTCCCCATATAACCTTCTAGTACAACCACAGCGACTGAAAAAACAAGCGTACAAGTTCTCTATAGAAACACAAGTTTTTAGAAAATACTGCATACACAACATGAACAGATGCCTTCCATGGGCTTCCAAAGAGGTTACTTATTTGCAAAATCACTAAACAGATAAAAGACCACAAATAGTTTCTATTTTAAGGCAACCTCACGCTGTGCCATTACAAGTGCATTTTGCCTCATATGCTGCAGAGGATGTACAGGTGTTCCTGTTTGAGGTGTCAACATTTGGAACCTGTCAGTATACAAATTACTTTAATCATGTTTTGTTTATTTTTTTTTAAGGCCTCATCTACTGTTTTTGGTTTGCTTTAAATAAAAGTATTGCATTTTACTCAAAAATCAAAGTGAAAAGTATGAGAAAGGTAGTGAAAATTGCCTTGCATTTGCTTAAACAGAGCAAAAAGCTAACCTGGTGCATCACAGAGTTGAGAGAACAGCTTTGCTAGTTCTTCAGTGGTTTCCAGCTACACAAGAATTCCTAGCAAGTTAGACAGCTGTGCTAGATGACCACAAACAGCAGCCCAGTTTCCATAGGCTGTCATTTTTTCTAGTGTCTATAAGAAGTTTATTAGAAGCAAGTTCTCACTTGCAGGAGATAGATGCATATTATTAAATACACCTGAGATGAAGCAATCATGTTTTCAGTAAAAACCAACAAAGTTTCAGATATCAGGATTTATAAAGAGCCTAAAGCTCATTCTGTAAACTGCACTGAAATGACAGGACAGTTCTTTACACAGCTTCACCTAGTAAAAAGAGATTTTTCTTCTAATAAGGCATTAAGTTAGTTTACTCTTTATGATCCGTTCTACGACGTTGTTAAACTTTTTCATTTCTATCTCCCATTCTCATTTCCAATTTCTGCACACCTCCAGTCTCTTTGCTCCAATCTTCACTGGCAGAATGCAGTCAGGGATATTTACAGGCTGCCTGCAAATATAGATTCATAACCAAGACTGGGTACGTCCAACAGTGCTTTTACACAGCTGAAGGATCCTTAGCAGGAGGATGTGGGAACCACTGAGAACAGTAACTGGCATCTCGTTGTATCGATGACATCACAGAGACTACCAAGTTTCCACATTCACATTTTAGTCCAAAACTGCAGAAGACGTACAGTAAATGACTATTCAAATATGTATTATTCCTTCAGATACACTCACTTCTATAGTTATCAAGTGTAACATTTCACCAGATACAAAGCTTCAATCTAGGCTCTAATAAATCCTCTTACGCTGTGCTAGCCAAGCTTCTTCTGTCCGTTTCAGATGAAATCGAGTTACTTGCACAACTCATTAGAAGATAAAGTGTCTAAGACACATGGCTTCTCATGGTCCCAATCTTAGCAGATTTTAATGCCACTGATGCAATATTCTGGAGAATTGAGTATGTCTCAGTTTTGGTTTTTTGGTTTTAGTCAGACTTGTCCTTTTTCTTTCCTGTTAAAGGCACTTTACTTGCAACAGCAGATCCTACAGCTGTAACACCTCCAGCTACAGCAGAAACACTTCCCTTGACTAGACCCACTCCCACGGAAGGCACAGATGTGACCGCTGTTTTGGTAATTTCCAAGCTCTTCCCTCCAATCCAAGCAACGCCCCCAATCGTGGCACCAACAGCTCCCTTTGTGACACTGAAGAGGCCACCAGTCACACGAGAAAGCATGCCAGCCTGCTGCTGCGGGTGGTCTTTGAGTGACCCTAAGGGAAGAAACAACAAGCAAATCAATCTCAGCACCAGAATTTAAGCATTTTCAAAAAAGAGTTACTCAAAAGTATTTACTTCTCCAGCCTAACAGCCACTGCACATAGTCTATACTTACCTTGCAGACTGCTTTTCTTGGATGCTCATACAACACCTAGTTCCAAATAACAAACAATAGGGAAACCAAGAAAAGAGCAAGTGGAACCACAGTGGGCAGAGCTAAAGAATAAACAGACATGAAATAAAGAGGTGAAGGAGTCAGGAGCAGAAATAACCTGTTTGGAGGAGGACAACTACTCTAGGAGGCAGCAGGAAAGAAAAAAAACAGCTCTAGATGCATGGGAGACCTTTGTCCAGCCCTGCCAACACACTGACTTTCCATAAATAATAAGAGAAATAAACAAACATAGTTTTTGTGTTTATCTTTACCTTACTTCAGGTAGCCAGTCCTTTGACATCTACTCTATTTCACAGGTGTAAATGTGATGGTGCATAAATAACTTCTGGTAATGGCTGGCACATTCCATTTCCACCCTGTTTGCATTGTCCATGAGGTCTAGCAAACACCCAGTGCTGCAAAGTTTTATTAACAATTGATTTCTGTTCTAGGACACACATCCCTGGTCTCCTTTTTTCTAAAGAGTACCAAATCATGCCTAAATCTAAGGAGATTGGCTCAGTCACTTAGACATAACACCAAGGTTGTGGGCTGATCCCCACGTGGGCCCTCCACTAAAGAGTTGGGCTTGATGATTCTTGTGTGTGCTTTCCAACTCAGAATATTCCGTGATTTATGGAGCACTGAGAAAATGACGCAAGTTCCCTATCCAGGAGTTGGCTCTACCAGGCTATCTTGCAGCCCGCTGAAAGGAATCCAAGAATGAACAAGAGTTTGAATGAACTTAGGTTGCAGAAGTTGTTGTCATTTGCAAGGCAGAAAATACAGCATTAGAATAGTACTACTCATGAAAAGCAGGAGCACAAAAGCTCCTTCCACACATTCTTTAAAGCCTTTGGGCATCAAGCTTGTTGAGCATGATTTGAACAAACTACAACTATTTCTATCTTCACGAAAAATTGCAAATTGGTTTTGGAATTGAGCCTTTCCTCTAAGGAGTATTTTGGCAGCCTGTTCAGAGAGATAATCTTGCCAGCATTGAACTGGTATCCTTCCATCCACATTTGGCCATCTTTCTATGATGGTGTAAGTGTATCACATATAAGGCCTTGCACAAATTCAAAATGGGGTTGTTTTTCAAGGGTATTCCAATATTTTAACTAAACTTGTAAGGCTTGAAGAGTGCACATGAACCAGAACCAAAAGGAAAAAGCCTCTTCAAGGATGGAGTTTACATTAAGATGAGCTGTGCTTCATTCTACTCCCTCTAATTACACCAACTTTCTCCATCTCTTTAGACTTCATACTCTAATTATTGTCATACTGAAAGAAAACAATGTGCAGAAGAAAGTAAGTCTTAGCTGCTCACAGATTTTAAATAAAACTTTGGAATAACCAATGATGATCAAATTCTGCTGTAATGCTCTGAATTTGGAAAACCTAGTGAATATTCTAGGAAGATAAAAAATACCCACTTGTTTCACTGCCTTATTCAATAAAGAATCAGTTCTACTTTTTGGACCACTGTTCACTTTCTATACATGATATTTAACATGTATAAAACACAATTAAATCTTTAAGGCAAAAAAACCCCTCCTAACAACTAAGCAAGCAAAACTCAGCCGTAAAAATTAGACTTGAAGATAACACATTAAGGTGTAGTTTCCAGTCAGACATTTGCTATCAGAAATGCTTCTGGGATCTCAACCCCAAAAGGGCAAAATGTTTTGTCCTCACATGATGCTACTGTAACAAGTATAACAGAGCTGAAGAATTACTGTGCCATGAAAACCTATTTTTCCCTTTCATCTTCTTCTACTTGTGTTTCTTTCCTAATAGTTGTTAATAGAGTGAGCTACTCCAGTCCTTTTTGCTACAGTTAGTGGATAATACTGTTGTTTAAACGAAGTAACTTTTTTGGTTATACAACATACAAAAGCTGAGGTGAAAAAAAAACCAGACCAACAGAGCTTTAAAGGGCCATTATAAACTGAAGAGCAATGAACCGAGAGGAATCATGACTCACCGACCTCTACATCCAACACATTAGGTTTTAAAGCAAGAGCAGACAGAACATAGAACCTATGTGCCAAGAATGGCTTTTGATCTAGTATGTTTCCAGTCACATTATGCAAACAGGACTCTGCTCAATCCTGCCAGTCCACAGCTTGGAAGAAACGCTGCTCATTTGGAACTGCATTTGCTCTGCAGATCTAATAACCAATTTAATATTCAGCTGGTCCAGGAGACCACGATGTCACTGCATTAACAAAGTCAAGCGCGTGCTTGTTTTTATGAAACCATGAGATTGTGAACAGTTGGAACCACTGTTAATTGTATGACGGAAAACAGTCTCCAGAAGCACTAATGAAGTTCTACATATTTTTTAACACATCTTGCATAAAAGTCACATGCACTATGAACACAACAACGTGTCCAAAAATGAAGCTGGGCTCTTTCTGTCTCACATAATGAATTGTAGAAATAAATGCCCATTAGACCAATTCATATCTCTGGAAACTAATCTGCAAATTAAGTCTTTCAGTAACTGCCCATCTTCTCTGTGATTTACAGGTACAGTTGTTTACCCGGTTATATTCAGTCGCCTTTTTATAATCAAGGTAATGCAGAAGTGGACAATAATCCAGGCCCATCTCATCCCAGGGTTGTTTTGTTTACTGTTATGTAAAAGAAAGTTAAAGTGTTCAGCTTGCAGATCCATTTTTTAAAGAGAGAACTTAATTTACCTCATAACATGAAAAGTAATACATACCTTCTGGTGGTTCATCATGAAGGTATGATGGGACTTCCTGTTGATTTTTGTCCATTTGATTCATTATTGCCTAAAAAAAGAAATTTACATGTGCTATACATCTTTTCTGGCAAAGCATAAATGTAATCCATGAATCCAAAATTCAAGCAGATTAAGTCTGACAAAAGGAACTTCTTTTACATTATTGGACAAGCTATCAGGTTCTGTCAAATTGCTGCTATTTTTACTATCAGACTGTGTTTTTGCATTCTTCTGCCAGACTCAAAAAAGGAGCTCTCCACCACATCAGCAGGCTTGATGAGAGCTGCCACACCACACCAAGTGCATCTCAAACCTAAAAAGCAATCAGGAAGACAACAAGTAGGAAAACAAAACAGCTACTGCCATACAACAGCTTATGTTTAAGTATCGAAAAAAAAAAGCCTAGTGATCATAGAGGTGGTGGCTGCTAGAGAAACAACAGCAGCAGGCCTGTAAGATCTGCCGGTACCTGGAAAGCTGTTTAAAAACACAAAGTCCTTGCGGCATAATTTGAACAAATGCCATGAAAACAAGATGGAAGAACAGCAACAGAAACACAAGATTTATCTTGTCACAGAACTGCATAAATGGTGTGGTGATAGAAGCAGAACTAGATTGTTTTAACTCTACACAAACTTTCCAATGAAAACATTTCAGGGAAGATTTCTTTACATCAGAAGCTGTTTTCTAGAGCAATTCTTCTAGAGCAGCAGTCCCTGACAGGGGAAGCATAGGAGAAAGCTCAAACAGCAACTCTGCTTATAGAATTTTTCCTCTGGAGTAGAAGAAAGTAACAATCAGTTCAGGATTCCTTCCTTCTTTCCTCCCCCACCAAAGCATGCCTTGATATTAAGTACTGCCTCCTCCCCCGAGTCCTCCTGCTCATCGTGCTTCCCATCCTCAGCAAGCATCATGGTCAGAAAAAGGAAAAACAAGTCACATTACACCAGTCAGCATCCTTCTCTCTTTTTGCCAGTGACCTCTTAGTTCCCTTCCTTCTGCACAAGTCCTTAAACAATTTAATTTCTTCCAAGAGTCAACAAGCACCACAAAAATAATTCCTGCTTCTCTTGTCATGCCCAAATCTCTCTGTACATGCTCTGGGTGAGAAAGCAGTGGCTGGGATCTGAAGAAGGAATGTGGAGGCAGAAGCAGGTGGGAAGACTCATCTGGAAAAGAAAAGCTGAAACCCTCACAGTATTATTATGAAGTTAAAATATCACACTAAAAACTGGCACCCACATACTAAATCATAGACCTTTGGACGAGAAGCAAACCTAAATTGAATATTAAAGAGTCCTCCCAGTCATTACTAAGGGTATCCATTCAGGGCTCAGAAAACACAGGTATCTTCACACAAGAAGCTGAACACAAAAGTAAAAATACCTACTACCAGGATGGTCAGTTTGATGGAAATGCTGAAAAAGTGCCATTCAAAAGCCAGAAATGCAAACATGTTACCTAAGAAATAGGAAAGTATCATATGATATCCCAAGCTGAGAGGAAACCACAAAGACCCTAAGTTCAGCTCCTGGTCCTGCACAGGACAGCCCCAGGAGTCACACCATGTATCTGAGAGCATTGTCCAAATGCTTCTTGAGCTCTGTCAGGCTGGTGCTGTGACCACTGCCCTGGAGAGCCTGTTCCAGTGTCCAACCACACTCTGGGGGAGCCTTTTCCTGATATCCACACTATACTTCCCCTGACACAGCTTTATGCCATCCCCTTGGGTTCTGTCACTGGTCACCAGAGGGAAGACACCAGCGCCTGCCCCTCTGCTTCCACTCGTGAGGAAGTTGTAGAGTAGCGACACAAAGTTGAGAAACTAAAACACACAAGGGCTAAAAGACAATTTTTAAAAGTATCAATTATAGAACTCCTTGTTATTTTACTTAATCACAAATAAGGGGAAGAAATTTTTTTTAAAAAAGAGCCCAAACAATCACAGGGAGTAATTGAGGACAATCAGGTTTTGAGAAAAGACCTAATTCAGATACTACATTACTTCTTTGCATTCATCTAAGGCAAGCTGGTTATCATCCTCACTATGTGAAGCTCCATGTAGGTTTGTTGCTTTTTTCCATCCTGAAATAATATAAAGCACTGTAAGAAAGAGTAGACAGAAGGAACTCACAGGCCTGACATAATTCAACCAAAACATCTGTATCAAGATGAAGCAACTATGTTCCTAATTAACATGTGGCCATTTCAGTCATGAAGATGATTACCAGGAATGCAAAAGGAGTTTAACCACTGCCTTTAGGGAAAGTCCTGAAAATAGTAAAATAAAAGTCAGAACCTAATAAGTCTTAATTCAAACAAAGGAATGAGAAAGTGATCAAAACAGTTTTAAAGCAGACTCAATGGAGACAAATGAGTAAAGGCAGAAGTAAACTATTTTTTATAAAGAACTACCTCCATGAATTTATTTGTATCTAGACAGCATGTAACTCCTAAAAGAACACCAGATGAAATTGCTTGTTTAAGCTTCCAAAATGTTTCTGTCAACAATTCCACATAAGAGATTGAGAAAAGTTATCTAATCTTTAGAGGACAGAGAAAACACTGCCAGGGATTATCAAAAAGTTTAGAGGGGAGTTGGAGCAAGTTACCAGTTTTGGTCATAGGTAGAACACTAGAAACCATCACAAGACTTCACACAAGGTTTAGTATTTTCTGCTATTAAGAACGTATTGGATACAGCAATAGTAACAGCAGGCACAGCCTAGGTGAAACCCCTGGAATCTGTTGTACGTGATACAATACCAGTATTTAATTAAGACCTGTCCAATAGGAAGAGTTAGAGTAAGACTGGCAGACAAGACAGGTAAGGATTGTTTTCATAACTCTCCACAGTTTAGTTTAGACTGTTAGATTTGGCTTCAGTTCCTGCTAAGCTAAATGAGCAAAGCACTGTATTGGCAGAGAAATTGCACAGCAGAGTTTCTAGTTTAGTTTAAAAGTATACTAGAAAATATTTTTAAAATAGCAGCTCATATAAAAATCAGAGCACTATATATAAAAAGTGGTTCAGATTAGTCAGTCCTTCCCATTACCTTTCCTAGAACCTCAAGGTTACATAATTGTTGATCTCTAGCTTCTCCTTAAAAGTTAAATAGGAATATTACACAATATATATAATTCACATACACTGGTTTAACACAACAGCAACAGAAATACTTCACTCACTTGCAACTAGACAGACCCCAGTGGTCTTCTTCAGGCACTAGCAACCTGCTGCTCTGAGGCCCAAAGACAACAGAGAACAGCAGCTAAGGCAAGTAAGTCACTGTTGGTCCGACTGAATTTGTTCCACACAGAAGGGAGCCTTCAGGGGTTTGAGAATCAGAAAGTTGAAAACTACTGTTTGATGGGTGGTTCTACAGGTGCCTGGAAGCACTCCAGGGATGCTAGGTGCATGGTTGGACTGGATGATCTTGAAAATCTCTTCCAACCTTGATCATTCTATGATGTTGCAAGAGATGTGCCCAACCAGCCTATACTAGGTTTTACTCACAGTTCTATAATATCAGGGCAAGTGAAAACAGAATCACATCACTGTCAGAAAAGGCTCACAGCCTGACCTGAAAGACAACTTGGCACACAAGATCTCACAAAGCACAATTCAGTTCCTTTTGTTTTTCTTTTTTTTTTCTTTGTGTAAGTGTTCCAGGAAATCCCAGAATCAAGACCAAGATCCAACAAAGGACTTGTACAAAAATTTTCAAGTATCTACAGTTCGTGTTACAGTTTGTGTTATGCATCCTTGTATCCAATTTAACATGTCAGTAGACTTGAGAGACTCTGTGCAAAAATCCTGTGCACTAAACAGAGTGCAGCTTATCTGGTGAACAGGATATGCACAGGAACATGCTTTAAACCTGGCTCCCTTCCAGAGATTTAAGATGAGTATTTCTATTGACTGGAGGTCAAAGGCCTGGAATAACTGCTTGGTGGCAGATTACTTCATTCAGTCTTCAGAGCAAGAGGGCAGGAATACAACTTTTTTCTTCAAAAACTGAAAATGGAGATAGAGAAACAGAAACCACTCATACATTTTACATAATACCATAGAGGTAAAAGCATTCAATGTCTCCTTTGTCTCTTAAGATCTAGGCTTGTATGTTCTGCTTTGCACCAGGGTCTCCCCGTCACCAGACTGCAGTGTATCTTTCGGGAGGATCCCAAGCTTTCCCCTGAGGATGTGTCCCCACAAAGAAGAGAAAGCAAAGCTCAGAGACCCAACAGAGATTACAGCTCAGCTGAAACGGAAGGCAGTGACCTGGAGATGCAAGTGTAAGACTTTCGTGCCGAGTTAAATCATTCAGACATGCTGTACATCAAGGAACTCAGGAAACTTGGAAGCTGCAGATTCAAAGTCCCCACTATGCACTGAATCATTAGTCACAACAATTACCAGTACTGCAGGCGTATGCAACAAGGCAAAGATTTATCAGAAACCTGAACCTTGGAACTCTTCTCAGACGTTTTCAGAACCTTCTTCAAAGTACAATAAGACTGGCCAAAGAAAAAGGGAAGAAGAAAGCAAGCAAAGAGATCTTTCTTTTGCATTTTCATCCTGTGATGCCAAATTCACTTGTGTCACTGCAGAAAAGCCTCCAGCTTCATTTAATATCTTCGTGAGGCCCAGCAAAACTCATAGGGACATTAATGAAGCAGAAATCTACCATATCACTGGCACACTCCAGTTCCCTTCTTCATCTGTATTTTCTCATGTCAAGAAGTGAAAGCTTAGAAGAGACTTAGAAAAGATCTTAGAAGTGATTTCAAACAGGGATAAATGTAAACTACGTCTTGGGTTTTTTCCCCTGTGTGCTTATGAAGATGTTATTCATTCAAGAGATAAGGAATAACTTCTCATATTTCTTAGCAATACATTAAAATATATTGTAGCCTTCATACAAAAAATAAAAAATAAAGATGGAAGTCACTCAACTGATTTGAAAGAAAACACACTTCCATATTGTCAAAATATGAAATACAAAGAAAGCTTAAATGTTTTATACTGTTGTAAAAAAAATAAAAAGAAATTGTTTAGAAGAGGGTTTTTAATTCAAGAACTATTTGTAACATTAACTGTGCTACAATATCCTGAATGAAAGCACCAAGAAGCTCTAGAAGTAATGCAACAACTACACGTACATTCATATCAAAGCTGATTGGAATAAAACTTACTCACCAAATATATTCCTTTGTGAAGATTTCTAGTTAGTTGTTTCCCCCAGAAGTATTCGGCATACACCTATGAGAAAGGCAGAAGATTAATCACATCTTAGGCAACAGTGACTGTCACTGGGTGTACAGTGGGAATCAGGAATACAAATCCCCAGTATGGAAGAAGCACACTTGGTATGGCCTCAGGATGCCACATTTTTAGAGATTTATGTCACCAAAGCACCAATTCCTTCTGGGCAATGAAGGTAATTTGACTTGATCCATGTGCTGCCATGAGGATTGCTATGAAGCACAATAATCCATGTTAAGACACAAACGCTCCTTAATGAGCCTGAGGTTCTTGGACAGTAATTTCTGTAAAGTTTTATCCTTCCATTGACAAGTGGGCTCTAACTATTACAGACGTGTGTAACTTCCCGGGTTTCAGCGGATGCTCTTGGTGTCTTTCTGACTTCACAGACAAAAAGCCCTTCTGTCTGAGCACAGCAAACCTGGCCCGAGCAGCAGCCAGTGAAAACTGGCTTGTTTCAATGCCGCTACTCAGATATTTGTGGGCAGCAATGAAACGATCCAAGGATGGGGCCAATTTCAGCTGGCGGCTTAATGCTGCTCCAGACGGCTGCAGCAGCAGCAGCCACTGCTGGAACTTTCACCTGACAGAGCTGCAAACAAACCCATTACCCTGTCTTGTTCCACCACAATAGAAGTTACCTTTCTTCTGGCTACCAGCTATACAGTTAGAAAGCCTGGCTACAGAGCTGATGGAAAACAAACAACCCTTGCCACATGCACAGCTCTTCTTCCCCTCTTTCAGCAGCTGCAGCAGATTTCTGAATGAACCTGATGTATTTCATATACATGGAAAAAAAATATTTTCAGGTATAATAGTTAAGGAAATAAATTTTTGGAAGAATCTCCAAATTAAACAAGAAAATAAGAATGAAGCCAAAAAAGGTAATCCTACCTACGGCTGCTCTTCAGGGTACTGCTCCAAGCTGCACAAGCAATCCCTCACTATCAGCTTCACTGCCTTACTCCTTGGACTAGGAGTCACAGGCAATTGTGCTCAGTGCTCTTAGATCTCTCAGACACAACCCTCAGAGCACAGCCAACATGGAAATGTGTGTTTCAGTTTGTTACTGCAAGGGAGAGAGTTGACTGAGCCTCTGCAAGAAGAGTCAATGCTAACAGCACTAAAGTACAAAAACAAATCCAGGCATGTAGAAAGCATGTAGCTAAAAAACAAGCACATAGCTAGTATTTCAACAAGCCTTCAGTTTAAAATCCAAGTTTCAAAATTCAGATTTGTATGCAAAGCAAGAGTGGTTTGGAAGCAAGCGTGCCATGAAAAAAAGACTGCATTTTCAACTAAAAACAAGAGGTTGATCAGAAGTTCCCAGGTGTGAAACACAACTTACTTCAAGCCTACAGCAGGATGAGCTACAACTTCCTCCAAAAGAAGTTGTCATAAGTAATGTACATAACAGACTCACGGTATGCAGGGTACTGAACACAGCTGGGAAGGTAACGCAACACATCTGTATTAAAAACCAAACACGCACCACGACTAAAAGCAAAAGAGAGGTATAATAGCTCCTGCAAAAAAACCCCTTAATTCTGCCCAGGACATTACTGTATCATATCTACCATGGATGGAGAATCCCCCATTGCTCCATCACTGTCAACCAAAATATAGATCAGGGTCCAGAAGAGGCTCTACGAAACACCTGATGTTGGCAACCGAGTATTCTCTGATGCAATGATGTACAAGATACAAAATCAAAGTTGGCATGAACCAGAATTCCCCTTTTCTAGCTCTCCAAAATTCGTTCCTAAGAAGTACATGGTAAATTCCAGTAAGGTGCATGGCACAGCTTCAGAAAGACCAGGAAAACTCCATTTTACCAGTTTTAACATCCTCTGCCTCTTCCTAGCTCAGTTTTTGGAAGAACCTTCCCCATTTCTTTAAACACTTTCCTAATGCCTGAGCTCCAGATCAGTCTCAGATCTCCTTTTCCAGAAGGCCCTCAAAGACAAAGCCTGACTGTGCCTAACAGCCAGCTGCTGAACTTCCTTGCCACTTCTGCTAATGAAATAATCCGTTCCCTAACATCCACAATGTTTGTTGGCTCGTACCTGACATTTAGACCTGGTCACTTGCTGGATAAAGCCCACTTTTCAGTTTGGACTTTTGCAGCACTGTCCACTTCTGCACTGAGAAGGCAATACTAACTTTTCTGAATATTTAACCACAATTTAACAGAAAGCTTTACACGATATACTGTATAATATTTACTGAGCAGTCTTAAAACTGATGTGCATACAAACCAGTACTTACATGCTAAATTAAGCTATCTTGTACGTATCCCTCCAGTTATACAGGGGCATCCTGCCTGAAGAAACACAGTGGACACATTGAAAAGATCTACGTGCACTTGATATTTACATTCTTTAAGCAGGGACATCCTGATGCAGAGTTCTCATTTTCACCCCAATTAAATGAGCAGAAGGAAGCATTTAATTGCATCCACAGAGGCCGTCTCTGCAGTTCATACAATGACCAGAACCACGCATATGACTAAAATAACTTGCCTTGAATTCCAGGCTACACCACATAAACGCCTAGGCTAGGTGAATGTGGAAAGCTAAGCTGGTCCCAAACAGTTAACAGAAAACGTCTTAATATGCTGCTCCATCAAACTGGACACGGGAGACATGGATGAAACAAAGAGTATGTCACTACATTGCAAAGTTTAAAAAGAAGAAAACCCGAAACAAAGCTTCTCCTGGGTCGGAGAAATTCAGGAGCAAGAACAAGACCATCCAGGAGCCAGGCCGAGGCGAGCACGGCTCTCTCCGCTGCCCTCCCTCCCAGGTGGGGGGGCCGCTCCTCCATGGGCGCCGGGCCCAGGGAGGATGGTAGCGGCAGGGCAGAGCAGCCCACCCTGCCCTCGGTCCCGCACCCCAGGAGCTCACCCCGCTCACCCTCGGGCGGCCAAAGCCCCGGAGTCCCCGCCGCGCCCTCCCCTCGCATCTATCTGGGTACCCGGAGGGGCTGCGGAGGCGGCCCGGCAGCGACCCTCGCCCATGTCCCCGGCCGGGCCGCAGTGGGCACCGCCGGCATCTCGGCGCAGGGCGGCGGCACTGACGTGGCAGCCAAGGCCGCGGTGGAGCCGCTACGCCCGGCCCGGCCCTCCCGCCTCGCGGAGCCGCGGCAGGAAGCACAAAGGCGGCCGGGCTGTGCCTGTGCCGGGGGCAGGTGGCGGCGGCTCCGCATCCCCGACCCGCCTCTCCCGCCGGCGGCTCCGCCGGGGTGCGCCGGGTTGCTCTCCTGCCTCCACCCCTCAAAGTTCCCCTTCCTCTGCGGGGAGGCAGCGAGGGCGCTCGGGGGTTGCCCGGCTGGCGGCGGGGCTGAGGGGCAGCGGCCGCCCATCCCTGCCTCGCTCCTTCACTCACCGCACGGCACTCACGGCTCGCTCGGCCCTCCCGGGCTCCGCTCAGACTTTACTCCTCCGCCCGTCCCCGCTGCCGACGTGGCGCCCGCCGCCGCCCGCCCTGCCGGCGCCCGCAGACCCCGCCCCAGCGCCCGGCGCGGCCCCTCGGCGGCCGGGGGGCGCCGCCGCTCCCGCCCCCTGCCCGCCCCGGGGGTGCCGGCACCCGCCGGCCTCCGCCTCCTCCGCCGCCAGCCGTACCCGCTCCCTCAGAGGGGCCGCGCCCCCGAGGGCCTGCGCAGGCTCGGCACGGCCCGACCCGACCCCTGTGGAGCCCACGGGCCTGAGAGGGACTTCTTCCACCGGGGCCGGGCAGCGAGGTGGAGGAAGATGCCGGGTAGGGGCAGGGCGGAGGAGAGAAGGGGTGCCGGTGTTGCTGTAGCTGACCGAGATGCTTCGAGGTGCAGGAGATTGGCTTGTGGCGCTCAGTTGGGCTGGGGAGCGTCTCGGCCGAGAGGTCCTGCTGAAGAGATCAGCCCTTGGGGCACCTTGTCCGTGCTGTTGGCACATTGGGGAGGCTGCAGAAGCTCCGTGCAGCACAGAGCAGCACATTCCGACAGGGAGCTGCACCCAGTCCAGTGCCAGCGGCGTCCTATGGAGCCACGACGCTAATCCTAAGGACCTAGGTTTATGTTAAGCAATATTTACATTGCACCTTTATCCCGACTACTATTTGAGTGAGCTGAGCTTCTCACCTGTAGAGAATAAACTTGTGGTAATCACGGTTTAAGGGCATGGCTTTATAGGTAACTGCACCAATGAGCATAGCTGGGGAAAGAAAGGTTTTTCTGATGCTCACTCCCTTCTTTGGGACCTCTCCATGTATATGTCTAAGGATCCCTGGGGATGAACAGTGACTTTCAAGTCTGTTAGACAAGGAAATTGTCTAACAGACAAACAAATGCCAGATGGCCAAGGAAGAGGGGAAGGTCACAGGTACTTTTTAGAAACAGAACTGCTCTCTGCACCAGAGGAATACTAAATACCTTATTGAATGCTTCACAAGTTTAGAAAAGTTATATAGACAAAATACCACCTCTGCTTCCTCCTTCATCTGTGCATCAATGTGATCTATCAGAGCAATGCTGCTTGGGCTCAGAGGGGTTTGCTGATCACAGGGACTTGGAATTCCTGACCTGCTTAACAAATAACATCTATATTCTCTGTTTTGGATATGAATGGGTGAAAGCATCAACGTGGGAGAATCCAAGCAAAAAAACTGAGGGTGGTGTCTGGTAAGGAGCACGCCATGGGTTCTGTCAGGATATGGGAGACACACAGATTAGTCATGTTATTTGGAAATAATGCTACACACACAGGAGTTCTAGTCTGGGATCTTGATTTCCGTCTGGGAGACTGTGACTGTGAGCTCAGTGTTTGCAGAGAGTGTTCACTATTTAGTGTTTACCTGCCTGGTAATAGACGACACCCGTGACTGTTGACATCTTTTTGGTCTTTGAGGTAAGGTTATTTTCTTACAGCTGCAATTCATCCCTTGCCTTAAGGCCCAGCTGTACACGGTGCTTTCTGTACATGTGGTGCTCTGCTTCAAATGCAAGGCCTGAAGCTTCTCATGGCAGCAGGAGGAGTTGCTGCTTGTATTTTTTCTGTAATAGAGGTAATCACCCATAAACTTTACAGCACAAGGCATTGAAGAATGTTTTGCTTCCTAGTAACTGAAAACGAAAGGCATCACAGAGATTAACATCTCTTCTTTTCAAACACTGGAAGGTTTAGGATAGCACAGGACTTGGATCAGTCAAATGTTATGCTGAGCCCACAGAAAGAGGACTTTTACAACTTGTAAAGCCACAGCTACAGGGAGAGGAGCCTCACTGACAGGTGTAATAACTGAAATAACTTCAGGCTGACATCTCTGCAGACAACAGAAAACAAATGAGCAGTGTGCCTGTTACTTTGCTAAACCAGCATTGAAGCTGAAGGAAAGGTTTTGGTTGCAGAGGTGTTGCCATCATGACTATTTTTGGTCTCATTTAATTTTTCATTCATTGAACGTTTCATTTATAAACAGACTCAAAGATGGTCTACTGTTGGTATATTCTGAAAAGACTTCTTAAGTGTTATTGAATCTGAGAAATAAATAACATGCTTTCACTGGAAATAACATATAATTACCTTCTTAACAATTTTAAAATGGAAAAAATACAACATTCTGTCTTCTCCTGTGGAGGAGTGGTTCCTTCATTTAGATTATAGGTTTTTACATTTTGTCTGTGAATGCACTATAATTTTAGATGCATAAAATAATTGAAGTAAGGTCAAAATATATACATTTTGTATTCTTTTGTGAGGACTGTGATTGCTTCTGCTGCAGTAGCTGTGGGGAACTACAGCCAGAGTTGGAGTTTTACTGTGTGGGATTTGATGTAGACTAGGAAAGAGCCCTAAAAGAACTCTTCCTCTCTCAGTGCAGAACTTAATTTAAAATGTGACGAGTGTCTCCTGAATTCCTCAACCTTGCAGTGCCATTTTCCTGTTGTAGGTAGCTGTTATAAAAAGGCAGAGCTGTGGGGTTTGTGTCTGGGACATGTCTGGTGAAGTCTATAGGCATGTGACTGACAACAAACTCCAGCTGAACTGTTTGCTCAACAGCAGACCTGAATGGGGAAGGCAACAGGAAAGCTTGTGAGATGTGCTGTTATATTTGATCCGTTTCTAAAGGTTCTGAACTGGAGCAGCCAAGGCCAGAGACGGACCTTATGGGATGCATCTCCTAACTTTGTATGCCATAGATGTAAAAACCTCCCCATTGCAGATCCATGCCTGTGCTGTAATGGAGAGGGATTAGGCAAGGACTGTACTTTTGCAAATTCCAAATATAAATCTACTATGGGGCTTAAAAATGTGCTCCCTGAGTAGATAACCTAGGTTAATAGTGTGCTGGAAGGAAGGAAGGGAGGTTAATATCCAACATTTGTTGGTAGTGAGGCTGCTGGCTGGTTTACTACTCACAAAACCAGACAGGGATGAAAGAGCAGCCTACCCTGCTCAAACATATATAATATCTTCATTGCATATGAAGAGATGTGCTTGGTTAAGCGTGATGCCTCATCTGCAGATGCATCTTGCCTCATAGGAAAGGAAACTGTCTGCTAGTTCTGGGTGACTGAAGCATGCAAGGGAAGAAACTTGGAGAAGTGAGTTGGTTGCACATTTTTGACTGAGGGGTCAGGCAGTAACAGAGATCAAACATTCTACTGAAGTACCACAACACTGCCAGCTACCAACAAAAAAGCCAGAATATTTTCCTTCCTTTTTGTTACAGAGTTATACTAATACAAATTGTGAATAAAAAATAACATATTTTAAGTCTTGGGCCATTAAGTGTTTGGAGGTATCTTTTTTGTTAACTGTACTTGTGTTAACACACATGTTCAAGACATTATCATTTTATAATTACATACTTTAAAAAATTATCAAGAAACATGGTTTTGTGATTGTAGTCAGCTCATTACTGAGCCATTAAGAAACTGGTTCCAGCAGCAGAACTATTAATGAGCTGGTTTCAAATAGTGTGTGTGCATTGTGATAACTTGGCGCTCTGCCTCAGTTTAATTAAGATTTTAAATTTACATAGTGCAATTCAACCATGTTTTGCTCTAGTGTTTACAAAATTAATAGATTTAATTGTCCTCATTTTATAGGTCAGGCCATGGTGTCATTTTGGGGCCAAGGGACAAGACTGTAGCCACCCATCCCCTGAAGCAGTCTGATCTGTTGCTCAACCTGCAGGGTGGCATTTCTTCCATACGACTGAAAAAATGATTGGGTGAACAAACCAAATGTTTGGTTGACAAACCCTACAGTAATATTATTTAGTAGAACTACACTACCTGGTTTGATGTATTCATTGAGATTTGCAGAGATCACAGAAAAGCTTCGTATCTGTAGAAGCGCAGTGGCCAATTAAAAATTTTACCTTTGACAGGAAAATGAAAGTATTTGAAGTGGTTTCTCAGAGCCTTAAAGAAAAAAGAAAGATAATCACATAATAAGAAACACTATTGTTCCTTCTATCACACTGTCTTCATATTATCAGCAATTATTTGATGTTCTAATCTTGCAAGCCTTATGAATATGAGCAGTCATGAGTAGCATGAGCAAAGTTTGCTGAAACAAATGAGCCTGGAAAGGTCAGATCCCTGCCTTGAATAAATAGGTTCAAATGACAGTATTACTGTTTAATCTCCTAGGTGTGGTATGCTGCATAGAAGTGCAGCAACTCTTGTGACATTTTGGGTTTTTACTCAATTTGAAATGAAATGTCCTTCTTGCTGTTTC